GTAAGGTTTACACTACCCCCAAGCAGCCATTATGTTCGTCACAGTGACCATACACTGAGGTACAGGAAGAACAGAGAAAAGGAGAGGCAACTAAAAAAATATCCATTACTTGCTGACATAAGATAGAGATGGTATTTTATTGTTTCTCTTCTAGAAAGAAACTAATTAAATTGCGTCTGTTGCCTCTATGTGGAAATGAGTTCCAGGAATTCATGGATGCACACAAACCTATGCCCACCATCCATACACTCTTTGTTCTGCAAACCCTTCTTGTAATGCAGTGGTAGGCAATGACACTATGAGTTTGCTTAATGTTGTAACTGAAACTTCAAATATTCAAGGAAACAAATTTAGCAGAAAATGGTCATGGTAGTAATAAGGAAATACACTTAACGAGCAGGCTGTACACAGTCTTTACTACTGGTGTTAATGTGCCATTTTTTTGATTACTAAGGTGCTAAGATTGGACCCATCCTGATTCATGGCAAATGTTTTTTCTATTAAATGGATATAAGATTAGGTTTATTAACTCTCAAAGCACTATTTTGGAAGCATTAGTTTTATGACAAACGTATTTCACTCCAACAAGTGTGGTTGTTTTCAGGGACATGGACGTTTCTGGCTTGCCAAAGTGGCCTTTCCCAGTGCTGCCCAATGAAGCTCTACAGATGGACCCAAGCAGCTTGTTGGAAAGCACATTCTGGCTTCTGAGAAATTCACATTGTGATTTGTGAACGAAGCACTCCAGCAACATGCCAGTCTAAGCTGCAAAATGACTAAGTACTCCTAAAAGAATGGAGCAGTCTGTATTTGTCAGAAGACTCAAACACCAGAATTACTCTCTTTAAGGGAAAATAATAAGGCTAATTTATTTACTGAGACAGAAATAAATATTCCTTTGCACAGCTGGAAACAGACTTCTGAACTATAACCCAGCACAACTTCAGGGACTAGCTGAAGTGAACTCTCCTAGCCTGCTATCTGAAGGATTCCCTTCCTTACTGCCACTTGACTCCAGGGCCAAGGTGGGGCTCCAGTGGGAGATGTCCCTACTTGACTGAGTCCTCAGGCAGTGCCCTCACTTGCTCTTTGCATTCTGAGATCAGGAAGGTAACCACACTAGAATGAAAGATCAAAAATCACCCTTGAAGACTGTCTCAATATACTTACCCTTTTTTTTTTTTTTTTTTTTTTTTTT